TTATACTCAACCGATTTTCTTGTGTGTAGGCCTGGGCAGAGACGCAATTTTGAGGCCCTTGCCCGGTGAGGAAGAAACCTCGGTCCCGATTTCCAAACTAGCGAAGGGGAATAAGAGAAAAAGGGCTTCTACTTCTGAAAATCCAAAACCGAAGGCAAGGTCGACTCATAAGTTGAAGAAGAATATCATCCCTTGGACCTTAGAATCGGTTCAGCACCTAAGAGATTAAGATGAGGAAGAAGAAGGTGAGCTGTGGCCTGAGTGAAGAAAACCGTCGATGCTCCACAAGTAGCTGGATCGATGGTGGTTTTTATGGCTCCGCCTCAAACTGAGGACATATCGGAGAAAGATTTGGGCAGAGTCCCTGAGTCGATAGAGGTCGAGGATGTTTCCCATCGAAGACAACAGATGGGGAATGTATTTGAAGGGGCTGTCCCTGAATCTCTTCGAACCGAAGAGAACGCCCCAAGTAACTTACTTGGGGCAGTAGCAATCGAAGGTTTGCCCACCTTTCCTACTTTTTCTAAAGGGGCGATTCGGGAAGCCCAAGCTTTGAGGGCCTTCGAACTAGAAAGGCCTCATGAGGGAGATGATCCCTTTTGTGGTCTATTTACCGATATCGAGGATGCTGCCGGTAGTAGTGATGCATCAGATATGTTTCATGGAGTGCATCAGGCTTTGAATCAGGTATTGTTCTCGAGCATAGACGAGGACAGGGATCTAGGTTGGATGAGCAGGTTCGTTCGAGTGAAGACTTCGGACCTGATCCCAGCTGAAAAGATGTCATTCCCCGAAGAGTGGAATATGAATCGTGAGTGTGATTTTACTATTTTATTCCATTTCGCCTTGTCTCTTTGTTTCTTTTCTTGTCGATATCTCTTTCGTGATGCAGCGGTTCCTTAGATGCCCGGTGTTGTTCCCTACCTTAAGAGCTGGGCACAAGCTCTAGCTTTGAACTCCACATACGTCGAACGCTCGTGGCGTGATCTGGAAAAAGGCCGATGAGAGGCAAAAAATCATGGTAAGCCTATTTCTCATGTCTTTTGGAGTTCGAACGAAATATTTTCCTTATACTCAACTGATTTTCTTGTGTGTAGGCCTGGGCAGAGACGCAATTTTGAGGCCCCCTGCCCGGCGAGGAAGAGACCTCGGTCCCGGTTTCCAAACCGGCGAAGGGGAATAAGAGAAAAAGGGCCTCTACTTCTGAAAATCCAAAACCAAAGACAAAGACGACTCATAAGTCGAAGAAGAATATCATCCCTTGGACCTTAGAATCGGTTCAGCACCTAAGAGATTAAGATGAGGAAGAAGAAGGTGAGTTATGGCCTGAGCGAAGAAAACCGTCGATGCTCCACAAGTAGCTGGATCGATGGTGGTTTTTACGGCTCCGCCTCGAACTGAGGACATATCGGAGAAAGATTTGGGCAGAGTCCCTGAGTCGATGGAGGTCGAGGACGTTTCCCATCGAAGACAACAGATGGGGAATGTATTTGAAGGGGCTGTCCCTGAATCTCTTCGAACCGAAGAGAACGCCCCAAGTAACTTACTTGGGGCAGTAGCAATCGAAGGTTTGCCTACCTTTCCTACTTTTTCTGAAGGGGCGATTCGGGAAGCCCAAGCTTTGGGGGCCTTTGAACTAGAAAGGCCTCATGAGGGAGATGATTCCTTTTGTGGTCTATTTAACGATGTCGAGGATGCTGCCGGTAGTAGTGATGCATCCGATATTTATCATGGAGTGCATCAGGCTTTGAATCAGGTAAGTCTTAAATTATTTTGTTGGTATTATCTCTTATGTCTGTTTTTCTTTTCTCACTTCGTTTCTTCTTCCCTCGTAGGCCGTGGAAGCTCATCGAGAAGCATGTTCTCAATCCCGAGCTGAGTTACGTCGATACAAGGTCGACCTCCAACGGGTTACGGAGGAGAGGAATGCCCTCAAACTCCTCTTAGGGCAAATGGGGGAGGAAATCAAGGACCTCCGAGCTAAGTTGACTAAAGCTCACCAAGATCAGACCGATCTGTCCGAGCAGGTAATGATACTATTAAATGCCTATGGGCTCGATACTGTAACGATGGCTAATCTTTCGGTCTCACACCTGCAGCAAAAGCTTGAGTTGATTGGGAAACTCCGTGAGGAGGTCGATGTGATAAAGGTGGAGTCCTTGAAATGGAAAGGAAATATGGACACTTTACTGGTGAGAAAGTGGTTGCTCGAGCCGATTGTCATCGGCTGAAAGTCAACTTCAAAACTTGAAGAAAAAAAGCTTGGTTCAAGCAAAGGAAATGGAGGATGCAGACGCATTTGTGGCTGTGTATCGGGCTGATGCTGAAGCCGCTCAGTCACATGCGAGAGAGGTTGCCGATACTGCTTGAACTCGAGCACATTGGATCGCCGAATTTTCCAAATGCCAATCTCGGAAGGAAACCCTCGAGGAGATTCATGATCGGGGCTTCGATCTTTTCGAAGAGATAACAAAGGCAAGAGAGCTTGAAGCTGATGATGGGGCTTTGGCCTTCGATGATGATGACGATGATGATGACGGCGATGATGACATGAGCAAGAGTGGGTCTCAGAGTGGGGAGGAGCCCGATGGAGAAAAGACTGCTCCCGTAGATAATTTGTTTTTTTTAAATATATTTTTGTGTAAGGCCCTGATCGGTCGTTTTGTAAATATCATCGTGTATATAAAGATTTTTTCTTTTTTGAGCTTGTCTCTTTTTTCATTCTTCTGCCTAGTGAAGATTTTTTTTTCTCGTGCCTTATGAAAATGTTCATAAATTTGAGTTTTCATGAAATTTTGATTGAGCTCGGACTTTGTAGCCTTTATAACTGAGTGAGTATTTGCTTGAACTCGAAGTCGAGTGAGTGATTACTCGAACTCGAAGTAAGATAGCTCGTAGGCTTAATGGTCGATTGAGTGATTGCTCAAACTCGAAGTAAGGTAGCCCGTAGGCTTAATGGTCGAGTGAGTGATTGCTCGAACTCGAAGTAAGATAGCCCGTAGGCTTATTTGAGTCATGAAGTAGCATGAACCTTTCAAAATACGAGGTATCGGTAAAGACAAAGTTTCCCTTTATAAGTCATCATACATGTGCTCGGGCTCGAGCGAAACTATGGGGACATGGTTCGTTTTGAACATTTAGCCCTTACACTTTTCTTCCCTATCGTGACACTGCTTGACATTAATTTTATATAAAAAACTATTTTGTACTGAACTCGATTTACTTGACGGGTAAAGCCATCCAGTATTTGAGGTTGATCGTAAAGAAGACTCGGATACTATTGAAGTGTCCTCAGGTAGCACATGGTTATTGCCTCGTTAAAAACCTCGCCGGAAAAAACCCATTTGGGATAAAAACCGATCTAAGGAAAAAAGAGCGTGTACTTTAAAACCTGAGGTCTCGATGTCTTTGGTCGAACTCCTGCAATGAGTTAGCGTCGAATATGTTTATATGGACGAAAGAAGAGAGAGAATCATACCTTAACAATAATATCGTTTGAGAAGTGATATGTTACAATTGTTCGATAATGGTTTGCCATCCATCGTTCCGAGTTTATAAGACCCCTTTCCGACTATATCAAGGATTTGATAGGGTCCTTCCCAATTTGGGCCGAGCTTCCCTTCATTAGGATCTTGAGTATTGATGGTGACCTTCCTTAGGACTAAGTTCCCGATCCTGAAGTGGAGGAGGTTGGTTCTTCTATTGTAGTACCTTTCGATTTGTTGCTTTTGTGCAGCCATTCGAACAAGTGTCACTTCTCGTTTTTCATCTAGTAATTCGAGGCTAGTATTCATTGTTTCATGGTTTGATTCCACCAATGTATGTTGAAACCTTGCATTGGGTTCTCTGACTTCGACTGGAATTAAGAAAAACGGAGTTGCTCCTGTACTGGACTTCGATGTTATTCGATATGCCCATAGGACTTCGGGCAGAATTTCTCTTCATTTCCCTTTGGCTTCATTCAACATTTTCTTCAGGTTTTGGATGATAGTCTTGTTCGTTGATTCGGCTTGTCCGTTCTCACTGGGGTGATACAGTGTCGATAATATCCTTTTTATTTTATGGTCTTCGAGAAATTTTGTTACTTTACTGCCGATAAATTGCTTACCATTGTCGCATGCCATTTCTGTGGGTATCCCAAATCGACACACGATGTGATCCCAGATGAAATCTATAACCTTTTTTTCTCTTACTTTCTCGAACGCCTGTGCTTCAACCCATTTAGAGAAATAGTCAGTCATAACTAAAATAAACTTAGCTTTACCTGGGACCGATGGTAGAGGGCCAACGATATCCGTCCCCCATTTCATGAATGACCACAGGGATAGAACTGAATGAAGTTGTTCTCCGGGTTGATGGATCATCGGTGCAAACCTTTGACATTTATCACATCTTCGAACAAACTCCTTAGTGTCCTTTTCCAGGCTATCCCACTAATATCCTGCTCTGATGATTTTGTGAATCAGTGGTTTGGCGCCGGAGTGGTTCCCACAAGTGCCTTCATGGACCTCTCGTAAAACATAATCAGTGTCTCTTGGTCCCAAGCATACTGCCAATGGTCCATCAAACGTCCTTCTGTATAATGTTCCGTCTTCAGCCAACATGAATCGAGCAACTTTGGTTCGTAGGGCCCTCGAGTCACTGCCGAGCTCGAGTCAGTATCGAGCTCACAGACAAGAGCCGTTGCAATCGCACTAGGAGAGAGAATCCCGACGAAAATTAGGAAAAAGCTAATTTCATCATGGGTTCCCCATTATGTATTTTTTATTAAATCCAAAGTAGGATCCCTATACTATAAAGAGGATGATTGTTGTAAGCATGAAGTATGGACACATTGTAACAAAAGTCTACTTCTCATATTGAAAGATCAACCCCTTGAGCTCATTTTGTTTTTATCTTATCTAGTTCATTCATTCTTCTTTCTCGCTGCTTTATCTTTCGCTCATATAGTCAAGAATATAGATATTCCTATTTATCTATACGATTTGTGTCAAGATATATTACGTATCCTTAGAATTACTTACAAATTTAACTCTATCCGATTTTCCGTGTTTACACATAGCACTTTTAAATTTGCGTTCTTGGTGTTGGATAGCTGCATACCACATCATTCCCTCTAACCCCTTGTTCGAAAACTTTGAGTTGAAATTGCTCTTTAAATGCCTGACATAATCGATGATATGCATTCGGCTCATGCAGCTGGACGAGCTCCTCAAAACTTCGAATAATTCCAAGAGCCCGATCTGTATGTATGTAACTTCCCTGCGACCTTTTACAACATGCACTGCAAGACATGACAAGAACCACGACCAAGCATCTTTCGACTCCTTATCGATAATTGCAAATGCTAATGAGAATATCTGTCCATTTGCATCTGCAGTCATAATAATTAACATCTTTAAGTCGTACTTTCCATAAATGTGAGTGCCATCAATGGATATAACAGGTTTGCAACTCTTAAATCCTTTAATACAAAGTTTAAATGCCCCAAAAATATACTTAAAGATATTTATCTCCGCCGTTGACCGATCTGCATGTACCCATTCCACCACCGTTCCTGGATTAAAATGCTTGAGTGCATTCATATACATAGGACGCTGGGCAAATGACTCATCAAAGTCACCATATATTATCTTGAATGCACGCCTCCGACCGAGCCAAGCATTTTTGTACGACGGAGTGTGTGAAACTGCAACCTTAACTGTAGTCTGCACCTCTTTAAGCTTGAACTGAGGATTGTTCCTAACATAAGATAATAACAAAGAAGCAATAAGGTTAGTATCCAAGTTATAATGATCCTCTGGGATTACACCCATCAGACAGATGTGCATGCCATAATATTTTCCAATTGTCCATAAATTGATTTGAGTTTTCTTGCCTCTGAGCATCCATTTGCATCCGGATTCCCACCCCCTACAATGAACGGTCCAATAATTCTTTTTGGCTTCACATGCCTTAAACTCCCTATTTGCCCACAAACTTCATAGTTTCACAGCAGTTTTCAGTCTCTCTTTGGTGGATAACAACATTTCAGACTCAAGAGCAGTTGCATTATCATCCATCCAAATTTTGCAACGAACACCTTCTAATTCACGGGTAGATGCAAACACCTATGGACGCCCCTGAGTATCATATAAAAATAGAATATTCTCCCTATGAAATGGTTGTGTGTGTTGTACATCATCAACTTGTGGTTGGCTATCATCGTTAACATTTTGTACAGAACCAGAGTCATCAACCTCATCTAACTCATATGCGTCATTTGGGGCGTCACCGTCGGAATCATCACCCCCTTCATCGACATGAGCATCAACTTCAACATGAGCCTGTATATCTAAAATTATTAGAACCTGTGAGATTTCATTATTATCAAGTTTGTTGGTTGCATTGTTGGTTCCTGCTCCGTCTCTAAAACTATGATAATGATAAGTTTCAGTGGAAAATGGTGTGCCAAAACTAGTACAACCATGTCCATAGCTACTAAATGTTGGTTTAATTTCTGGTACTGTACTTTGTGATAACAACCTTATAAAACTATTAAATTCTGAATAACTACCCAGTGGAATCAGTACATGGCACATAGGCTTTGGATGGAAGCTCATTAAGATTAAAAGTCAGACATTAGAAAGAAGATGACTCGCGAAAAATATTTGTAGGCTCAACAACCTCCAATAATTCAGTTTTAATAAACATCTCAAGCACATCAAAATTTATCATTTGTCTTAATCTATCAGGTGCCCTCAAAATTTTTTGTAATGACTCACTATCAACAATAGGAATTTCTATATATATCAAGCAGTACCATGTGACCACCTACGAGAGATAACAAGCGTTACCTCGTTAGGCTTGATTTTCATCTTAATATGCAAGTTCCTAAATAGCCACTCATACTTAACATTCAACGAAGGTTTCACAATGGCACGGGCACCACAACTATATCTAACTGTGTCGGTTTCATAAATTATGTCACATTCCTAGTACATCGCAACCCTTACACGCTGATCAGTTAACATTTTAAAACCTACATAAAGTAGCAATTATAATCAATAAATAATATCAATATTTGACAATTAGATTACAAAGTACAAACTATGAAAATAATACTAACCTTTTAACATACTTCGGTATATTCAAACACACCATACACATCATGAAATAACATGACTTATATAGAATCCAAATGCATGTATTCTAGCATTTGTTTTCAACAAAAGGCACATTTAATATGCAAACCTTTCATTTTTCACAAAGGCGCAATATGACAATGAGTCTTCCGTAAAACGGTAGCGTCAGAAGTCAAATCGGTGTCAGAATTTTTAATTCAATTGAAGGCACGTCACCCTATTGAGCCTTCTGTGTAAATACAAAATATAAGAAAGGCGCGTCATTTAATTGCATATTCAGTTGATTTTAAAATTTACATTAAAGGTGCAATTGCTCAACGCGTCTTTTTCACAAATTACACTTAATGTATCGTCTATTTGGGGGCGTTAATATTACAAGAAGAAGGGTCGCTTATGTGGCGCGCCTTCACCATTGAAGGAAAAAAAATCTGACAAACCCATTTATTGGAGTGGTGCTCCATTTCTCACCATTTAAGTCAAGCCTTCTAAAATAAACATGGCAAGGAGACAAAGTCATCAAATTTTATCCCAAAATGATCTAAATATGCATGTTCAATCTGATATTGTTAACAGTGGAGGAACTTTTTTGGAACTATACAATATTTATGGAGGTGGCAAATGTACTGTTTACACTTTCAAAACGATTTAATTTTAAGGGCATAATGGAAAAAATTTAGTTAACTCTATCTTGGTTTTGTAAATTGACAAGTAATTTGGAATAGATATTTTTAATAAGGTAGGCAAGTAGTATGGGACAGAGGCAAAATTGATATTCCATTTTTGACTAGTGACATATCTTGAAAATTGAGAACTCCATCATGACACTACATGTTAGAAACATAAAGATGCTTCTAACATTTAATTCGAAGCATCTTTATGTTTGTTTTTATTACTCCATCATGACACTTTTAGATTTTCTAACTTTTTAATTTTAATCAAATATTTGAATATAAAAATTTTAAATTTTTTAAAATAAAATTTATATATTTAAAAATTACATAAGAAGTATTATAAATCATAATAGTTAATGAGTTAAAAAATTTAAAAAACATATAAAAAATAATAATTCATTTAGTTCTGAAATTCCGAATACCTTTACGTGAATGGAAACGAAGGGGTACTTACTACAGTTACTTGTTAGTATGTATCTTTTTTAATTCTTATGTTTCCTACTGTACTAACAAAATCCCAATCTTCATATATTATAGGATTCTTTTTAAGAGGGCTTTGCTTCTAAGAATAGATGAGAGTACAGAAAAACAAAAATTACATTTCCAATCAATTTTACACACTATCACCGAGTTTTACTCACTATAATATCAAATAATAAAATTGTTTTGTCATATCCAATTAATTGAATTATATGTGTATTTATTAATAAGATACTCTCTCCATCACAATTTATTTGATGGTATTCTTTGACCGGAATGTTTCATATGCTCTTTAAGTATTTTAAATTATTAATTATTGTGATATATATTACTTTTCAAAAGTTTTCAAATATATAAATTTTATTTGAAAAGTTTATGAATTTTATTTACAAATACATTATCAATATTAAAAGTTTATATCTCAAAAAATAAAAAATATCATATTAATTGGGACAGAAAAAATACAAAACGAGAAAGTCAACATTTAGCATCGAATTATGAGACATCACTTGTTATGCCGCATTTTTACTACTCTTTAAATTTCACGCCAGCAAATTAAATAAAAAACTTTCACCATATAAATATTTTGACCACCCATATTAATGTGAACAATATGGGACCACACATCGATTGAAAAGGACATTGTTTACATTTGGTCTTGTAGTTGTAGTACTCGATGTTGCGTTAGAGTTTTATTTAACGAAATATCTTTAATTTCATCTAGGTAAATTGGTTTTGGATATACAAAACAATTATTCCGATCCAACGAAATTGTTAAAGAAAATGAAAATTTCTCTTAGCTTTTTAATCATGTAAAAGGAACAGAGTGAAATGAATGAATCATTTCAATTCATGTAGCAAAAAAAAAAAAAAAA